GTACTTCCTTACTATAACACTGACTGGTTTCAAATTGTGCATAGACTCTAAAAACGTAGGTTTTCAAACTCTGGTCAATATAGTTGCTTTAAATAATGGCTACCTCGATTACACATTTTGATAAATTTGTTTACAAATGAGTCTACTGTGAAAACTGGTCCTGTTGCCAGTCTCTGCCCTCTCCCCACAAATTTGCTAGATTTATAAATAAATTTAGGTATTTTGTTTTCACTTCAAGATTACGATTTCAGAATATGTTTATCGTAAGACATATAGTTCTCAAGATATACTTAATATTATAAAGTAGCATAACTCTTTTTCAAAGTACATAGGATTTTTATTTAATTGTTTATTGACTTTTTTTTTTCCAGGGTTCATTGAAAAATCCTTAGTGATATTGACATGTTTCAAGTGACATAAATTAGCCAATGACTCGGAATGATGGATTCCCCGAAGATTGGAAATGGTTTGCCAGTGATTGGACCAGGGAGTGATATAGGGATATCTTCACTCCACATGGTGGGGTATTTGGGAAAAGTTAGTGAACTTATTTTTTGCCTCAGTGCAAGTTGGTTTTTTTTCCTCCTGTTTTTGAGACTTAAATTTGGTTTTAATTTTACCAGTTAACTTCTAAAAAATAGTATCTTCCACGGAAATCTTACAGCAATGGCGAAAGATTGTTTTAATGTGTTTACCTCTCTGTGTTTTATTGATATGTGAAAGTAGAAATAGACCTTAAGGTTTACTATTCTTTGAAAATATGGACCATATATTTTCCTGTTGACATGACTTTTTTTCTTGCAAATAAAACTGCTATTCTTAACACTTAAAATTTAATGTTTACTACTACAATATATTCTTTTTGGAATACTAGCTATATTTAAAGCCTGTATGCATTTCTTTTATTTGCCATGTTTAAAATATTTTGCCAGGACACTTCTAGGTGAAAATTGTGATTTTTTTTTTTCTGGTTACTTTTCCATTTTTTGTAATTTGATGCGATTTAGGAATGTGTATGTTTTAATTTACTTTATTTCTTTTTTAGAATTATGATTCAGCTAAAGTCCCGTCAGATGGGTATTGCCCTGCTTGTAGAGAGAAGGGCAAGTTAAAAGCCTTAAAGACTTACCGAATTAGTTTTCAAGAGTCTATCTTTTTGTGTGAGGATCTACAGGTAAAGTATTAATCTTAGATAGTATCGAAGTTTTAGCCTTTTTCTTCAGTGTTTAAATTTGTACTCATTTTGTATTTTTTAGACTGTACATTTTTAATACATAGATAATCAGAATTTCTTGATCTATCTGATATATGGTTTTAAATATCTTCTGTTATTTTTCCACCTGGTTTCCTGAGTTAATGCATGAAGATGTTTATTGTTGTTATTGTTAGACTTGTAGGAGGAGAAAATACATTTCAAAATTGATTTTTTTTTTTAACCTTGTGGGGGGTCCTTGTTTACTGTTGGTATATAGTAGTTACTCTCTTTTCTCTGATTTATTAACTTTGGGACTTAGTGGAAAAGTTATTAGTGTCTAAATATTATGTACTTAAGGCACTAAATATCTTTTAGAATTAATTATAGTAATTTGTACTCACTGGTACAACTTTTATATAGGAGCTTATTAAACTCTATAATACTCTACATTTTATTGTACTTGACAATTTATGAAATGGTTATGTACATGTTTAATTCTCAAAACTTTGCAAGGTAGGTTTTCTCATTTTATGAATAAGAAAACAGATGCGGAGGATTTAGGAGCACAAGATCTTCCTAAAGCGACAGAGTTGTTATCGGAATACAGTCTTTGAATTTCAGTTATGTTTTATTCTGGGTAAACTAGCAGTTCATCAGAATCACCTGGAGTGCTTTTTGAAAATTTCTGGGTCTCACTTCCAGATACTGATTCAGTAGAGTTGACCCAGAATTCTGTAGTTTTGTCACATCTGATGATCAGCCAAGTTTGGAAAATACCAGACTAAATCACACTGTTGGTGATAGACACTTTTGCTGGGTATAACTTGAAGAAAATGCCAGACATTCTTACAAATAAAATAAATTTCTTTTTGCATTTATTCAATAAATATTTTTTTGAGTGTCACCATGTTGTCACCATTCCAGATGCTAAGATACAATGAATAAAACAAAAATTTCTTGCCCTCAAGAAGGTTATGTTCTAGAGTAGGAGAGAAAATAAACAAAGTATATTTTGTGTGTGTGAGGTGTTGGAAAGTGCTGTGGAGAAAAATAAAGCCACAGAGACTGGAGTGTCATGGAATGGGTAGTTTGCAGTTTTAAATAGAGTGGTGAAGGGAACTCTTCATTGAGAAAGTGACATTTGAACAAAGACAGGCCAGGTGGATATCTGAGGAACAAGCATTTCTGGCAGGGAGAGTAGCAGGTACGAGGCCCTGAGTGGAGGCTGCCTGTCTCTGTTTGTGCTACTGCAGGGAAACCAGCAGAGCTGGATCTGAGTAAGTGAAGCAGAGTAATAGCACATGGGTCAGAAAAATAATGGGGAGAGGGCTGGACCAAGTAGTCTTACAGGCCATTGTAAAGTCTCTGGCTTTTACTCTGACTGAAATGAAGAACCAGAGTAGGGGTGTTGGCAGAGGAGTGACATAATCTGACTTATATTTTAAAAGGATCACTGTGGCTGCCGTGTTGAAAATATATGTAAAGGTCAAGACCTGAAGCAGGGAGGCTAGTTGGAAGGCCGTTGAGTATTCCAGGGGGAGTAAGTAGTGGCCAAAGTGTTGAGGCATGGTTGGATTCTATATATATTTTGAAAGTAGAGCCAAAAGGATTTGCCAAAAGATTGGGATACATGGTAGGACGAGGAGGAATCAAGGATGATTCCCAGATTTTTGACTTTAATAATTGGAAGAAAGGAGTTGCCAATTACTGAGATGGGAAAGACTTTGAGAAGAAGAAGGGAAAGATCATGTGAGGACCAGTCAAATGGAGACATCTATCTAATATCTATGGGTATATGGAGTAAACAATTTGATCTATATGTCTGGTATTAGGTGGAGAGTTTGAGATTGGAGATTGACATTGGGAGTCATCAGCATGTAGAAATTAAACCATGAGACTGGGTGAGTTTACCTAGGAGTATGGATAAAGACATCCAAGAACTGAGCCCTGGAGTACTCCGGCACCAAGAGATTTGGGAGATGAAGGGGAACTAGCAAAGGAGTGAGAGAATGGGACAGTGAGGTAGGAGTAAATCCAGGAAGGAGAGTGTATTGCCCTGGAAGTCAAGTGAAAAAAATCATTAAGGAATGAATGATTAACTCTCATTGCCAGTGAGAACTTGAGGAGGATGAGGACTCAACTAAGCATTGATGAGAGTATTGTTGGGGGTCATTGAAGACCTTGATGAGAATGATTTGGGTAAAGGAGTAGTGAGAAAAGCCTGATTGGAGTGAGTGATAGAAAATGGAAGAGGAAGAATTGATAAATACAGATGTGAGGTGGTACCTAAAGGGGGAAGTTTTTTGTTTGTTTTTAAGTTGGGAAAAAGAACAGCGCTGTTTGTATGCTGGTTGTATCCAGTAGAGAGGGAAAAATAGGAGAAAGTGTCACAGAATTGCTGGAGGGATATCCTTGGAGCAGATGATGGGCTCTATTGCGCAAGGAGAAGGCTATCTATTTTAAATATGACAGCTCATCCATAACAGCAAACTATCCAGAGAGTGTACTGATTAGCTCAGAATAAGGTTGTACAATTATGGACACTGGAAAGAGAAAAAATAAATCTTACCAATTCTAGAAAAAGTTACTTTTTTTTCTATTCTAAACAATACATAATATTTCAGTAGAGTTATTTAACCACAGACTAACAGAATAGAGAAGTCCCTGTTTTCAGGACATAGGTTTTGGGTGTTAAGGTTAAGTGGATTAGCTGCATTTTTAGTTTTTGAAGCATTCTTTTTCCAGTTATGAGGAAAAATATATAACCAAGAATTTTAAATATGTACTTTGCAAATGTAAAAAAGAACTTTAGAGTAATTAATTATTGATCTAATTTTTAGAAAATCTTCTAATCATTCGTAAGAGCCCAGTGTACTTTATGAAGTAGATTGGTTTACACTAGGAATCAGCAAACTCTTGTTATAACCCGTGGGCTAGGAATGATTTTTACATTTTTAAATGATTGGAAAAAAATGAAAAGAAGAATACTCTTTTGTAACACATGAAAATTATATTAATTTCAAATTTCAGTGTCCATAAATAAAGTTTTATTGGAATGCAACCACACTCAATCATTTGTGTATTGTCTGTGGCTGCTTTTGTACTACAGTGGCAGAATTGAGTAGTTAAATCAGAGTCACTAACTGGCTTGCAAAGCCTAAAGTATTTATCTGGCCTTTTCAGGTAAGGTTTGCTCATCCCTGGTCTTTAAGACCTTTGAATCAAATTATTAGTTTCTGTAGAGTTCTATTATAAAATTTTGAGTCCACTGAACATTCTGTTTTCAGTTACTAAATTGCAAAGAACCACATGGGAAACCCCTTTTACTCAGATATTTACATTAAAATATATTTCTTAATTTGAAAAAAAACACTAATATTCAAACTCTTTCAAAATTAGTAACAAATTGAAACTCTCAAGTACAGTCATCTGCTGCAAAGCAACATTTCGGTCAACAACGGACTGAATATATGATGGTGGTCCCATAAGATTAGTATCATATAGCCTAGGTGTGTAGTAGGCTCTGCCATCTAGGTTTGTGTAAGTACTGTAGGGGAGGAAGAAATTTTCCTCTACCTTCTAGGTTCTTCTGGCTGGTCTAAGAATTAAATTGATGTGAGACAGATTAACAGGAAAAACAAACAAAAGTTTAATAACATATATACATGGGAGAAACCCAGGAAAACTGAGTAACTCACCAAAATAGCCAAAGCCCTCACGTTAAATACTATCTTTAGCTAAAGACAAAAGAAGATGTTAGTGGTAGGGAGAGTCAGGGACTTCAAAGGGAAGAAAGGCAATTCACAGGTGAAAAGGAGCAAATGTTTAGAGAACAAGTGTTTGGCCATGGAGAAACAGAAGAGCATAGAGTGGAGCCCACAAACAGGCTTTTCTAGTTCCTGCCTGTCTACCATCATGCTATGCTAAGGTGACAACTTGCTTCCCAAGACAGGTTTTTTAGTCTGAGGCAGTTAAGGGTAAGGTAACAAGAAAAACTTTGAGTCTTTTGTTTCTTAAAAATAATCGTCCTAAAATAATCCTCATGTTAAAGAGACACATTTTAGGGTGGCAAATTTTGTTCCCCTTCAGTGTACTCTTTGATGTTCCCACATGACAAGATCACTTAATGATCCATTTTTTCAGAACGTATCTCTGTCGTTAAATGACATATGACTGTATTTTCTTTCTTTTTTTTTTTAATTTTATTTATTTATTTTTTTCCCCCAAAGCCCCAGTAGCTAGTTGTATGTCATAGTTGCACATCCTTCTAGTTGCTGTATGTAGGATGTGGCCCCAGCATGGCCGGAGAAGCAGTGCGTCGGTGCATGCCCGGGGTCGAACCCGGGCTGCCAGCAGCGGAGCGCGCGCACCCAACCGCTAAGCCACGGGGCCGGCCCACGTGACTGTATTTTCAAAGGGGGTTTTAACTTACCTTCTTTTTCTTTTTCTTGAGTATTCCATTATTCAGTCTTTTGTTGGAACATTTAGTTATTTAGTCTTTTTTTTAAAAAAATGAAATTTATATTAAAAAGGCTTTTAAATCATTGGTGTTAAATCACTAAAGATTTTCTTAGTTTTCTTCACTTGTAAGATGAATGTAAATTATTTTTATAATTTGTCTTTGGCCATACCTTACAGATAATTATCCAAATATAAGATAATGTGGTATATTTTCCTTATTCTTGTTTTATAAAAACAGTGAAAAATCAAAAATCAATTCCAAAAATCAGTGAAAGAGACAGCATTAGATTTTTTTCAACATTAGATTTTAAATGCTCTTAGATAGTTGGGCTAGACTAAAAATTAATGTTCTGTGTATGGTTTTGTTTTATTGACTTTTTTCTTTTTTTTTGAGGACAGACTAAAATCTTTTATTATATTTATAAAAATGATACATGTTCATTGTAAATAAACTAGAAACTAAAGTCAGGTATAAAGAGAGAAAAATCCAAAGTATTAATTTATAAAAGGGAAAAATCAGGGCAAGGACAAATTATATTTTAGATTGGCTTTATGATGGGAGCACAGATTATAGAAAGAAAAGTCAAGGGAGACATTTGCAAATAGTGTAGGGGGAGACCATCCAGGACACTAAATTTTGCAGCCCCAGGGCCATTTATCGTTTACTAAATTACTTGTTTTTAATTAAGGAGGGGTGCTGGTAGGATATGCACACCATGATCTTAACTCTGCTTGAGACTGGTCAAGATTTTCTGTTTTTTAGTTTTTTGCCTCTTTTAAAAAAATTCTTTAAAAATTTTTAATTGTGGTAAAAAAATATAACGTGAAATTTACCATCTTAACCATTTTTAACTGTATAGTTCAGAAGTGTTAGCTATATTCACATTGTTGTGTAACAGATCTTTACAACTTTTTTAACCTTGCAAACTGAAATTCTGTACCCATTGAATAACAACACCCTTTTTCCTTTTCCCCCAGCCCTGGCAGCCACCATTCTGCTTTTTGTCTCTATGAATTTGACTACTCTAGGTACCTCATATAAATGGAATCGTGCAATATTTGTCTTTTTATGACTGGCTTATTATACTTAGAATAATGTCCTCAAGGTTTATCCATGTTGTAGATATGTGACAAGACTTCCTTACTTTTTTAAGACTAAGTAATATTCCATTGTATGTTTATACCACATTTTCTTAATCCATTTGTCTGTCCATGGACATATGAGTTGCTTTCACCTCATGGGTATTTTGAATAATGCTGCAATGAATATGAGTGTGCAAATATCTCTTTGAGATCCTGCTTTCAGTTTTTTTTAGATATATACCTTTTTATGACTCTTTGAATACAGAATTATTGCTATTGATTTTAAAGTGTTCTGTTTTCTGACATAAAAGATTTAGAAAATAATCTCAAGGTTTAAAGTTGAGGATCACGTTATTAGTTAATGGTGACTGTACAACTAGTTGGTAACAGAAGAATCCAGAACTTGTCCTGTTAAGAGAATTTCATAATAAGTGCACTAATATGAGTATAGTGTTCACTTATATAGAAGAAGCTGTATTTTAAATGAGAGGATTTAGTGCATTTCAGTTATCTGTTGCTGTAAAACAAATCACCTCAAAACTTACTGGCTAAAAAAACTTAATGACTTCACTTATTATTCCTCATAATTGTGTGGGTTGACCAGGCAGTTGTTACACTTCACCTACTGTTGGCTGAAATGTCCACATGGCTGACAGTTAGTGCTGGCTGCCAACTGGGAGCTCAGCTCAGGCAGTCAGCCAAAGTCTCAGTTAAGCTAACTGGGCTTCTCACAGTATGATGGCTGGGACTAAGAAGGAGCGTTCCAGAAGGAGGGCTCCAAGAGGACAAGCCTAATGAGCCAGTGCTTATCAGGCCTCCATGTGCATCATGCTTGCTAATGTTCTATCAAAGCTAGTCATATGGCCAAGCCTAGAGTTGTGTGGCAGGGGGCTGACTGTACGAGGACATGAGTACCAGGAAGCGTAGTTCTTTATTTTACTAGAGGCCACCAAGGTAGCAGTCTACCATACTTGTATAGGAGGTGGCGTATTTTAAATGAGGGCACATGGATTTATAGATATATAGATTTCTTAAATTTGTCTTATTTTGCTAGTTTTCAAACTTAGGGAAAATTCATTGATTATTTTAGTGATTTGTTTACACTTTTGATATTTGGCTGAAATTGTGTTAATGCATAGTGAGATTTGATAGTCATTAAAATTCAGCCACTTTGACTCATAGACGCAATAGGATGTAAAATTGATATGCTGATGTGCTCTCAGATTAATATTCAGTTTCAAAATTAAGAAACATAGGAATTAACTGCATGCAACTTTTTTATTTAAAAATATTTCTCTAGTTTTTAATGTTGAGCAGTATGGCTGTTCCAAAAGAATAATGGACTTATCATAGAATGTTTCTTTAAATTGTTGAAAATTTTTAATTCACTAGACATTAGATTTTTTTTTATTAAAGCAAAAATATGTATGTTTTTCTTGTTAGCTTACCCTACTGTAGCTCAGATTAAACCCTTGATTGTTCAAATTAACTCAGAAAAATAATTTTTAGATGGGCTGAATTTTTGATTAAATAATTGTTTATCCCTGGTTCCTTCAAGTTTAGGTATAATTTGATAATATACCCTCTCATGTCAAATTAATGCTAAAATTTTATACATATTTTTCATGACATAGAAACTATAAAGTAAAACTTGAGCTTATTTGGATTTTTGTAGTTTTTATCATTTTATTTTTTCTTTCTAGTGCATCTATCCTTTGGGCTCTAAATCACTTAATAACTTATTTTCTCCTGATTTGGAAGATTGTCACACTCCAAATAAGCCTCAAAAAAGAAAGATCTTGGAAAGCAACTACGAAGATTCACCTGTTTTAGCAAGTTCCAAAAAGACTAAAATTCATACTGTTACTCATGGTGAACAAGTTTTGAACAGCAAACAGAATGGAGAAGCACGTGATGAAACCTCATCACACTTACCCAATATACTACACAGCAGTCAACAGAATCCAATTAAGACAGCTGATTCCTTGGAGCAGAATGAGATTTTGGAAGCTGATATTGTTGACATGGCTGCTGAAGAAGATCCTACTACAATTGTTGTTTCCGGAACTGAAGGGACTTCCCCTCCAAATGAAGGACGCACATCTGAACTGGAAATGCCATTGGAGAGCAAATGTACGTCATTTTGCCAGACTTTATGTGTCCAATGGAAAAACGCTTATGCTCTCTGTTGGTTAGACTGTATCCTGTCAGCATTGGTGCACTTGCAAGGGTTGAAAAACGCTCTGACTGACCTTTGCTCTAAAGAGGAATCTGTATTCTGGCGGTTGTTTACAAAGTATGATCAAGCCAGTAAGCTTCTCCACACCAATCAATTGGATGGAGTTGAAGGTTGGTAGTAATATTTATTTCGCTTGAATTTTCACAGAGGTAATGTTGAGTCTCATAGCATGTGGAAAAGATGCCATCAGTAGCCTCTGTTTTATATAGAGACCTGGGAACAGGGAGCCCAGGATGAATGTCTTGAAGCTTAAGATAACACCAGTTGCATTATCATGACTGCCCAAAAGGTAGTCTTTTTCAAAAACTAGGAGTAAAGAATAAAGAGGCTGTGGTTGTATCTTAGCTGTCAGGGGTAATGGTGGTCATCATAAAGTCCATCAAAGTAAAATTTTAAGTTTTTAACTTTCTGTAAAGCAGAAAAAAGAAGTAAATACAAGTCACTCATAATCCCACAACTCACCCCAAATCTCTCTTCACAATGAGGGAATATATTTTTGTGTTTTATTTTCCATAAAATAGGATACCCATGAACCTACCTCCCAACCCAAGATGAGTTAAAATAGTCCCGATGACTTACATCTACCTATGTGTTCCTCCCCATCCCATCCTCCACCTCTCCCCAAAGGTAATGATTATCCTGAAATGTGTTTTATCATTCCTTCTTTTCTTAATAGTTGTTCCTGCATATGTATGGCTAAATAATATGTTGTCTAATTTAGTTTATTTTGAACTTTATAAAAGATATTGTACAGTATGTGTTTTGGGACCTTTTTTTTCTTTTTATAAAGATTTATCTATTGAAGTTGTTTGTGGTTCATTGATTTTCATTGCTATATATTATTTCCATTGTGTAAATTTGTCAGTATGTATTCATTCATCTGTCATTGGGTTGTTTTTTGCCATTATAAATACTACTGCTGTGACTGTTGTTAGGCAAGTCTCTTGGGGCACAAGTAAATAGTTTCCCTTGGATATACTATATAGGAATAGAATTGCCAGATCACAGGCTCTGAGTTCAGATTTGTGAGATAACAGTGAATTGTTTTCCAAAGTGGTTGTACCAATCAATACTCCCATTAGCACTGTACCATATAAGAGATCTT